ACCAACCTGCGGCCTCCGGTCATACATCGATTCCCTACGTGGGACCTCACCAAGGTTCTCGCCTCCCTTACCAAAGCTCCTTTCGAGCCCCTCCGGGTGGTTTCGCTCAGGTTTCTCTCCTTCAAGGTGGTGTTCTTGGCTGCGGTGACTTCGGCCGTTGCATCTCTGAAATGGCTGCTCTGTCGGTTCGCCAGGATTTGTGCGTATTTCATCACGACAAGGTGGTTCTTCGTTTGGACCCCACCTTTATTCCAAAAATCAATTGTTTTTCATTGCATTCAGGAAATCTCTTTGCCTAGTTTCTGCCCGCATCCGACTCATCAGCTTGAAAAGATCTGGCACACACTTGACGTGCGCAGGGCCTTAAAGATTTACATCTCATGCACCTCCTCATTTTGTAAAACAGAAGCCTTGTTTGTCTCATTTCAACCCAGTTCCATGGGAACCAAGGTTTCGGCTCCGACTCTGGGACGCTGGCTTCACGCCACGATTGCCTCTGCCTACGAATCACAGTCCCTGGCAGTTCCTCGCCACGTGACTGCTCACTCTACCAGAAGTGCTGCCACATCTGCAGCATGGGCAACCCAAGCATCTCTTGCCAGGCCGCAACCTGTTCTACCCCGACACCATTTATTCGGCACTACTGTCTGGATGTCTATCCTTCGGCTGATGCTGCCTTCGGCAGACGTGTCCTGCAACGGGTTCATATTTCTTGAAATTCAGCTGAGCCGTGGATCTTCCCACCCGTTGGACATCAAACTTTGGTATGTCCCAGCACTGACTGCCGTTTCCAACCAAGGAGGAGAATGGGCGTTGGTCCTATCTGATACGCCCTTTCTCTCATGGGAGGAAATGGCAGTCAGCCCCTCCCTGTCTGGGGCCAACCCGTGTGGTGTCGGGGTGGAGTGGGATGTACTAATTCTCTTTCTTTGCAGTTGGAGACACGACAATCTGCAGTGAATTCCTCGGCGATAAACTGGAGAGCAGAAGGAAGGGCGGGGCTTAACAACACTGCAGACTTGGTCCTGGTTGGCCAACTGACGGAGTCTACCCGGCACTGACTGCCGTTTCCTCCCATGAGAAAAAGAGCCTATCAGGTAGGACCAACACCCATTTTCTGTATGTCTACTGAAACAGTATCTCACCTATTTATAATACAAATTGTGAACATAAATACTGTCAAATGCCTAACTATATTTCCCTGTGGTATGGCTGTATTATTATCCTTCTCATCTTTTCTACCTCCTCCAATGATAATTGGTGTTATTATGATTATTACTACTGTTGTTTTGCATGTACACTGAGAGCTTCTGCACCTAAACAAATTCCTTGTGTGTCTAATCATTCTTTGACAAATAAAATATTCTATTCTATAAGTGGAGGCACTCTCCACTTATAGAATAGAGTAATTATATAGGCAGTAATTATATTTTAAACCCTAAAAAGGAAGATGTAAAACTCAACAGTTCAAGTGGCCTAGCTGCAGGTACATAGCATAGCCCTGTAACATCTATTCTGATATCTTCCTCCCTTAACTACTAAAATGTCACTCTAGTCTAGGTAGTGTAGTTATTTATAGGCTTTTTAAAATATTGTGACTATTTTAGTATGCAATTTAATGTTATTAAATTTGTTTCTAATTTATACTGGTAATGTCAGACCTGCCACAAACTTTAACTTCTAAGTAGAAAACAATCCCTGACCATTTGCTGAGAAAGATATATTTTTATTAGAGACCAAGTGTATTGCAGGTCATGCATAACCAGAACTGAGATTTGCATGCCAAAATCACTACCTTATTACCTTATACTTTTCCTTCCTTTCCCCTCCTTGTCTTTCATTTTCCTCCCCAAGGTAATCAATTAAAATCTTGCAAGCTGTTTTCCTAACGGTCAGTTCAAGTTCTGGTATGCCACTCCCTCCTTCTTCCAGCTTGGCAACCTTGAAGCAGTTTCTTAAGACAGTACAGCACCTTTTTCGGTTTCCCACACATGCCCCCTTGATCCCCATTCTCCATAATTCATGGCAGAGTGTCACTTCATGTCAGCGAAGCACAAGCAAGCATGAAGTGGCAGCTGACAGTTAACAACCTGTATATATTGTATATTGTAAATAAGTTATAACTACAATAAAGCCTTGAATAAAAATCTTTGCTTATAGGACAGTCCTCTTCAGAACCAATCCTCTTCTTTCTTTTTATTCATAATGGGAAACAAAAAATAATGGCATGAATGTTTGTGGAGATGAGGTATAAAGGTATGGGAGAAAGTACCTTTCCAAAAATAAATCTAGTCTTGCCACACCAAAATCCCCAATTGTTTAACTGGGATGTAAGCAAAGAAACCAGCCTAGCAATTTGGATTCAGAAATCCAAGTTAAACAAGACTCTGTCACAAAGAATGTGACTTTAGACTATAAATGTCAATAAATAGCAAAAAGTAAACAAACAAAGCTTTGTCCTGAAAGCATATTTTCTCTGCAAGATACCATGTTTCACAAATAAGTGTTTTGTTTTCATTCAATTTACAGGTATTGCATTGATTCTGTATATGCTCAGACCAGCAACATACCCCTATCCTATATGCTTTATTATCAACAATGCACTGAAAAGAAGGGTATGTAGACAAGATATAGAGGCAATCCAAGATGAGTAAACAAACTTTGCAGCAAATTTGAACTCTATCTTGTGGCTTTTCCCACATGATCAGCCTTGCTTGTAAATACAGGTAGTCCTCAACTTACAATTGAGCCCAAAATTTAAGTTGCTAAATGAGAAATTTGTTAAGTGAGTTTTGCCCCCTTTTATGACTTTTCTCACATTTGTTAAGTGAATCACTGCAGTTCTTAAATTAATAACCTGGTTGTTAAGTGAATCTGGCTTCCCATTCACTTTGCTTGTCAGAAGGTCGCAAAAGGGAATCACATGACTCGGGACACTGCAATAGTCATAAATGTGAGTCAGTTGTCAAGCATCTGAATGTAAATCCCGTGACCATGAGGATGCTAAATGTGAAAAGTGGTCATAAGTAGCTATTTCCAGAGCTGTTGTAACTTTGAACAGTCACTAAATGAACTGTTGTAAGTTGAGGACTACCTGTAGATACAAAATGTTTAATTTGAATTTCTTTTTCACTTTTATTACAACACAAAAGTTTGGAATTTTTATTTATACTGTAAGTAATGAAATCACACAACTAGCAAGTTATTTAAACTTTGGTAACATTACAAAAACACTGAATTGCAGGCTCTGAGACCAAACATAACAAAGAAATTCTGACTTACAAAACCAGGCAGAAAAGAAACATCCAAGAAAACATATGAGAAATTCAAACTTAATATATAATAAGCATTTTTATTCATGACATTAACTAGTTAAGACACATGGTAAGGATACAATCACATAAGACTACATATCCAGAACCAAGCCGAGACAGCCCAAACATAAAAAGAAGAATGGTCTGAATGTGAGTAGTTTAAAAGCAAGCAATAAGCAAAGTAAGTTCAACTAATATACCGTTTTCAAAATCTAAGACATTCATGTCACTCAGGATTGAAAAAACTTCTGCAAGAAGGCCAGATTCATAATTTACACTCCTTTACTAATCAAGGCCCTTTGCAGCAATGGAATACACAGAGGTCAACCATCCCACCTGTATGTATCTAATAAAAGTACAAGAATGGGAGGGAAGACAGCAAATCCCACGAAAGAACAAGTTCAAATGGAAGGAAATGGGAAATTAAAAGAAAAGCCGAGCCACAATAACACACCCTCCCCCTAAGGACTTTATTCTATCCCCAATGTCCTGTGCGTCTATCCTGCTTTTATAAACCCCAAAGATCTCCCCCACCCACCCACCCTGCAATCCTAAACCCTTAAAGAACTGCCACCAAACTGGGGGCACCACCTTTTTCTTTCCACTCCCAAGAAAGCCCTTCTTCTCTTCCCTATTAGCATCTATCTCTTCCCACTTACGACTATAACCATGTCGCTTGTACCTTTCAATTTATATTGTTTTCATTTGTTTCCTAGTACAATTTTGATAGCTGATTAGCAACCTTGACCATCACTAAGTGTTGTATCTTTCTATTCTTGATGAATGCATTTTAATTCTCCTTATGTACACTGAGAGCACATACACCTAAGACAAATTCCTTGTGTGTCCAATCACACTTGGCCAATAAAGAATTCTATTCTATTCTACGAGATTACTTAATCTGGGTAACGAAAGGTCTGCAAGAAAACATCCAAGCTCAATCCCTCAACACTGTCAAACTATTTACTAAGTCTGCACTACTATTAATCTTCTGATCGTTCCCATCACCCATCTCCCACCACTTGTATGACTGTAACTTCGTTGCTGGTATCCTTACGATTTATATTGACAGTTTCCTAATATGATTTGATGTCTTATTTGTTCCCTATGACCATCATTAAGTGTTGTACCCCATGATTCTCGACAAATGTATCTTGTCTTTTTATGTACACTGAGAGCATATACACCAAAGGCAAATTCCTGGTGTGTCCACTCACACTTGGCCAATAAAGAATTCTATTCCATTCTACGAGGTTACCTAATCTGGGTAATGAAAGGTCTGCAAGAAAACATCCAAGCTCAGAGAGCATCAAGGACCCCCCGCCCTACATGTCAACCCTGAGCTAGAAACGACCCCCATTATTGGGCCCACTTCCAGGCACTCCTCCTTCTTCCCAGCGCCCCAAACGCCTGAAAAATCCCTACTCAGCCGCCCCTCAGACAAGACGTGCCTGTCTTGCCCAGCCAGGCTTCCTCGCCGGTAAATACCGTACGCAGGCGGCGCAAACATCTTTCCTCCTGCAACCCAGGAGATCGGCGGCTGCTTCTCCTCAAGATCTCCCTGTGGGAGTCCCGCACCCGTCTGGGGGCCTCAGGCTTTCCCTGCGGATCAGCCGCAAAAACCCTCCCTTCCCCTTTTCCCCGCTCGGCCTCGGGAGGACGAGAAGGGATATATATATACCGCACCTGCTCCTGCTCCTCCCAAGGCGGCTGCCATGGCGTCGGATCTCGCCAGGTCGCGGTGCGAAAAGCCCGCAACCTTCCTGCCTTCCTCCCGACGCCGGGAGCTCCTCTCGCCCCAGCACCGATCACCCGCCTCGGAGCGTAAAATTAGAACAACATGGCGGCCGGCTGCTGAGAGGAACGCAGAGGAGTCGGAACGGAGAGCGTCGCTAGAAGCGCCGCGTTGCACTCTGGGATATTGGAAGACCGGCCTGTTCCGTATAGAGGAGCGGAAGAGGGTGGATTTGCCGGCTCGACCAATCTGCCGCATTGGAAGACAAGACGAGGGTGGGAAAGGCAAAAAAAGTGGGAGGTGGGAAGAGAGAGGGCTCTGAGGGGAAAGCCACGCCTTCCAGCATAAGCAGAGGAAAGCAGGCCTCTCTTGCCCTTGACTTTATGGTCAAGTGACTTTATTTTATTGATTTAAAAAAAAAAAACTGGACTGAGAGGCGCATGCGCTTAAGGAGACTAGAATGAAGCCGGCGATTAATAGCAAATAAATGTGGCGCATGCGTAGCTGCCGGAGGAGGATTTTTGTTTTGTTTTTCCGCCAATGGAGCTGAGGGGGAAATATTTTGGAGCTCTCTTGTCTCTGCTTACGAGGCTTTTTCCTCCAAGTCTGGATAAATTGTTCTTCGGCTTGAAAATGCTCATAGGTTGCTGAATAACCAGCCATGAATTGGATTCACCTAACACGCATATTGAAAGATAAAGAAAACTTTTTATCAGCCACAAAAGCTGCTTTAAGTCCTAGACACAACTATGTTCTATCTAAACACGTCACCTTTCAGGACAGTGTTTTTCGACCTTGACAACTCCCAGAACTCCCCAGTCAGATACTGGCTAAGTGACTGGGTGATTAACAATTCCAAAACAGTTTTTTTTTTAAAAAAAAAAATTAAAAACACATGTTAAAAAGAAGTTTCAAGTCCACATGTCTTAAGAGTTGCCAAGTTGGAAAGATGCTAGTTTTAGCCCTTTAGAAAAACCTGGCTGATGAAATGATGGGTGCACCACAATTAGCTGTTGTTGAGTGAAATAAATTTTTTATGTTTTTAATGTAATAAAAGTTTAATAAAGTGTTTTTTAAAAAAATGATGGGTGCACATGTAAAACCAATATCTGAGCTCATGATCAGAGAGACAAGTTAGGCAGATGATGGATACAGAAATGGATTTTTTAAGAAAGGGATGTATCTAGGTCACACATAATTATTACAAACTCTAACCTGATTTTCGTGGTTTGTACAGCACGGTTTATGGCCTAGTGCCATGTTTCCCCGAAAATAAGACCCTGTCTTATATTTTTTTGGAACCCCAAAATAAGCGCTTGGCTTTATTTTCAGGGAGGACTTATTATTTTGGGGCGTGTGGAGCAAGATGGGGCTCCTCTTGCCATCTTATCTGATTTCCAGCACTTGTCTTCCTAAACTTAACCAGAAGAAATGGCGGGGACCAGCTGCGCATGCGTTTAAATATTTTTGGGGAAGGCTTATTTTTGGGGAGGGCTTATTTTTGAGGGAGGCTTATTTTAGCACATGTGCTCAAAACCCCGATTGGGCTTATTATCAGGGGATGTCTTATTTTCGGGGAAACAATATATTATTCAAATGTGGCTAATTGTGGTTTATTCAATAGCCATACTTAAACCCTGACAATGTGATCGCAAACAAATTTTCGGAGTCATCTGAAGTTCCAAGTTCTGTTGCTATCCTTTCAAATGAAGCATAACTGAGAATTAAACTTGGGATCTAAGTACATAGGCCATCAGTGTCTCAGAATAGCAGTTAAGGATGCATATTAATTAATCAACTTCATTTTTCTGATCGATGAGAAAGCAAAGAAAGGACTTCCATACAGAATAACTAGGGTGCACATATTTGTTCACACCTGTGGTGGAATCTGCTAAATCACAATGAGGAAATCATACCCATCTTTTATATTATTGTGTTATTTGTGGTTTAAAATAATTGCAATTGTAGTCTAGTTTTGCCTCACTGTTGGGAACTCTATTTGTTCGTTGTTATTCCTTCTATGGTAACAGAGAAAGGAAGGTCCTGGCCTCCTTGGGTTGTGTTAATGGATTCAGATCATCCTATCTCTAGGTCCTATTGATTATCGTGCCATGCCATCAGATTAATTTATCAGTCAATAATAAGTTGTAGCTTGGTTTTTAATTAATTAATTCATTTCCACAAAAGAATATAAGTATAATCTACATCATTATATTACACGGTACAGTACAGGGGACCCAACAGAGATTCTAATCTAACAGTAAAGCAGAATATTTTTTGAAGAGCTTTCTTGAATAATCAATTGACTTCATTGCCCATTGTACGAGGTTTTAATTAAGCGATAAAGCCTTCCATGTGGATGCTTTTATCTTTCAGATAAGGATTTATCACACATCCCCCCCAAGCAGGTTCTTATCTGAAAGATAAGGAAAAGTACATCAGTGTCCACTTATTATTATAAATCCTTTAATTAAAGGACCTCCAAATAAAAGTCATAGGCTGGAGAGATACAAAACAGGTTAATATCTTGAACTAGATGAGCATCTATAGAATAGAATAGAATAGAATAGAATAGAATAGAATAGAATAGAATAGAATAGAATAGAATAGAATAGAATAGAATAGAATAGAATTCCTTTTTGGCCAAGTGTGATTGGACACACAAGGAATTTGTCTTTTGAGTGAAGGAGAATATAAAGAATTTTGGTAAATTTGAAACCTGTTGAATCCTTTGAGGCTCTTCAAACTTGGTTGTTTGCTTGCAGTCATTTCAATATCTGGCTAGAGAACATTATCAGTGCTAGTGAGTGTAGGGTTTATTCCCTGTTTACATACAGAATAGTAGTCCCAAAGGTGCTTTTTCAGGAGGCAACTGGACTTTCTTGTTTTTCTTTGAAGACGTTTCACTTCTCATCCAAGAAACTTCTTCAGCTCTGACAGGATAGTGGAGAATGTATAATATAAATCCTTCCGTTCCCCACTATCCTATTAGAGCTGAAGAAGCTTCTTGGATGAGAAGTGAAACACCTTCAGAGAAAAACAAGGCAGTCCAGTTGCCTCCTAAAAAAGCACCTTTGGGACAACCATGACCTGGATGACTGAGAATCTCTATAGACTTTTAGCTATACATAATAGTAGCTTCCCTGTCAGGGATGTGATTTTTCTCCTTGGTAGATCCTAGTGTCTAGTGTTAATCCCTACTTATCTGGATGCTATCTGCTGCAGAGATATGTTCTAGCCTTCTCAACTTTTTAAATGTCTTTTTTTAATGCTATCTATATTTTTTATTTCTATGTGTTTATTGTTGGCTGATTTTTCTGAATGTCAACCTTCCAGGAATTTCCTAGTATTTTTGGTCTAGGAGGTTCACAGTTTCCTAGCTGAAACTGTGATTGAGTCTGTTCATGTATTGTGAGATTAAGCGGTTTTCATTGTGTCTTCAGACTGCTGGTCCGTGTTAATGGATTCATTCTTGGCTTGGCTTATTTATGTAGTGGCTGTTACAGTCCTTACAATGTATTTTATAAACTGCTGTTTTTATTTCTTGGACTACTAGGTCCTTTGATTTACTTAAAGCATTAGTTAGTTTATAAACTACAGTAATACTATGTTATACTGGTCTGTTGGTTATTTCTGAGATGTTTTGATGTATGGTAGTGTTATTATTCTCATAGCTTGTGTTGGTTGTGCTGTAGAGGGTTGAGTGGTCAGGTATTTTTTGATCAAGTTGAATGGTTTCCATTTTGTGGAAGATGTATACAACATATACATATACATAACCTTATATAAAACCAGGGGTGAAATCCAGCAGGTTCTGACAGGTTCTGGAGTAGTGGAAATTTTGAGTAGTTCGGAGAACAGGTATCAGAAATTTTGAGTAGTTCGGAGAACAGGCAAATACCACCTCTGGCTGACCCCAGAGTGGGGTAGGAATGGAGATTTTGCAATATCCTTCCCCCAGGGGTGGGGAAGGAATGGGGATTTTGCAGTATCATTCTCCTGGAGTGGGGTGGGAATGGAGATTTTGCAGTATCCTTCCCCTGCCATGCCCACCAAGCCACACCCACCAAGCCACGCCCACAGAACCGGTAGTAAAAAATTTTGAATTTCACCACTGTATAAAACAATCTGCTTTTTTTTGCTGTTCTGGATTGTTGCAGTGTATTTGTGCTCTTAGGAATCAGCGAACTAAAATGGACAAGGAATGGGTGAATTTAATTCAGATGACCATCAGGTATACTACTGCAGGCAAGAATCCCTTAGAAGAAATGGAGTAGCCTTCATAGTCAATAAAAGTAGAAAAAGCAATACATACAATCCCCAATGATCTCAGTTCGAATCCTAGGCAAACCATTCAATATCACAGTAGTCCAACTCTATGTCTCCACCACTGGTGCTGAAGAGGATGAAATTGACCGGTTCTATGAATCCCTACAGCACCTTATAGAATTAACACCAAAAAATGATATCCTTATCATCATGGGGGATTAAAATGCTAAAGTAGGAAGCCAAAAGATAACAGAAATAACAGGCAAGTTTGGCCTTGGAGTACAAAATGAAGTAGGGCACAGGCTGTTAGAATTTTGTCAAAAGAATATGATGGTCATAGCAAACACTCTTTTCCAACAACCCAAGAGACGAATCTACACATGAGCATCACCAGACAATCAAAACAGAAATCAGATTGTCTATGTGCTCTGCAGCCAAAGATGGAGAAGCTCTATACAGTCAGTAAAAACAAGACCAGGAGCTGACCGTGGCTCAGATCATGAGCTTCTTGTTGCAAAATTTAGGCTTAAATTGAAGAAAGTAGGGAAAAGCACTAGGCCACTCAGGAATGAACTAAATCATATCCCTGATGAATATACAGTAGAGGTGACAAATAGATTAAGGAATTAGATCTGATAGACAGAGTGCCTGAAGAACTATGGATGGAAGTTCGCAGCATTGTACAAGAGGTAGCAACTAAAACCATCCAAAAGAAAAAGAAACGCAAGAAAGCAAAATGGCTGTCTGAGGAAGCTTTGCAAATAGCTGAGGAAAGAAGAGAAGCGGAAGGCAAGGGAGAAAGAGAAAGATACATCCAACTGAATGCAGAATTCCAGAGAATAGCTAGAAGAGATAAG